GAGAAAGTTTTTCTAACACTCCTAAAACATTCACTTAAAATAAAGTGAGTAAATTATAATTACGATCTCATTTTGTCAATAAAAATTGAACTTTACCATTAAAAAAAAAAAAAAAAACTTACAACAACTCACACATCACTATGAACTTATCACGTTAAACTCCTTACTTTATAACATTATATATGATTTCTTTATCAATAATGGATATTATGTATATACATATGCTAGTTTTCATTCATTCACAAAATAAACTCATTTACCAAGTGATTCTAGAGTAATTGGGCAGTATAGGAGTGAGTTTCAAAACTACTTTCAATACTTCGAGAATTTGCACACTAAATCAAATGACAGTGCCACATGGAAGAATTAATATTTACACAATCACGATACATGATAATCCTCCTAAAGATGCAATCGAGTCTTTAATTGAATAGCTGTCCTATGTAGTTGTATTCTCACTTTTATTGTTTTTTTTTTGTGTGAGGAGAGAAATAGGTGACTAGAAATAAAATGAAAATTTGATTCAAGAGAAATATATGAGAAATAATATTATATATGTATAGTAAAATGAAAAGAAATAGGTGAGAAATAAGGTATATAAAAAAATAAATAAATAAATAAATAGAGTTAGTAAAAAAGAAAGAAATAGAAAATAAAAAAGTTAGAAATAAAGTATATAAAAATAAATAAAGAAAGAACGAAAACATAAACAAGAAAATTAAGAAAAGAATAAAAAGTAAGAAATACAAAATATTTTAATTTTTAATAAATATTTTTTATTTTGATCAATTAAATTAAAAAATTCAATCATCGTAATAAAATTACAATCAAATGAATGTCTTCCTTTATTTAAACGGATGTCTTCCTTTACTCAATGTGAGGCTCATAAAAGAAAAAAGAAAAGAAACAATAATAAACCATTTATTCGTATAAATACATGACTTATTCGAATGATTTTTTTTGCATAACAAATTTATTCACAATTTCTCTTCAAATAAGCATGGAAATAAAAAGGTGTTGTACTCACACTTTTTATTTTCGTCTCCTTCATTTCTTACATACTAAACATACATACTTATTTACACTCTCATTTCCGATCTCTCTCTCATTTCTGCTTATTTGTAGGCTACCAAACAAACTGTTAGTTTATTGATCTTTTTGAACATTTTATTTATTAAATTAAAATATTCATTGAATATATATATATATATATAATAATAATAAAAAGTTATTCTTAAACTAAACAAGTTTTATTTCTATTGACTATGATGATTAAAAACATGTTTAGATTAGGGATAACTATTGCTCAAGCTAGACCAGGTCTATTGTTATTTAAACTTGACCTAATTTTTTGATCAAGACATTTTTTAAAATTCAAATTTGACCTAACTAATGTGTAAAATATGAGACAAGATCGAATCAACCAAATTTTGATACACTATTTTAATTTTAACATTATGTATAGTTAAATTATAAAGTAATAGAAGTGTAAAACTTAAATTAAGATATATTTTATAATATATTTTTTTAAAATAAATAATTTTATTATAAATATAATAATATTATGATATATAAAAATATTATTAATTAAATTTTTTTATATTATAAATACACAATAATTCAATAAAACTTATAATTTTTAAGAGAATAATATATTAAACCAAGTTATGCAACTCAAAATGTAATCCAAACCCATATTAAAAATGCACTAAGTTCAATTTCAAAATCTAAATTCATCCAAATCAATCTCAAGTTAAATCGGGTTAGCATATAAACCCCTATTTTAGACTATACTTCTAAATTCAGTATTTACTTAAAGAAAAATTTGTATTATGTGAATACTAAAATTTTGCTCCAATTTTAGAGAATTCATTTAGATGGATTTGGAATTGCAAAGACGGTAAGCAACAATTAAGAAGAGTAACAAAACATATGATTTATCATAGGTATAAGGTGGCAACTTCACCCGCAGAGAACAATATCAAGAGGCACAACACAACTATATTCATTTTTTTGGTATCATTATGAGAAAATTAATTGAGTTCAAGACTACCCCTACATGATGTCCTTAAATGCTTAAATTTACAAAAATAAATCCATACAAGGCACAAGTATAAATAAACAAATTATTGCTTACAACTAGCAATTTTCTTCCTGCACAAGTGTTGAAAAACACAAAGAACTATCCACCTTTATGTTACGAAAAATACGAAACCAAATCATTACTTATCAGTAATAGTTCCAGATTCTAAACCAATTTCATGTAAAAGAAAAAGATGGTTTTAACACAATTTTTTGTTGTAAGATTATAATAACTTGTATTCATCTATCTCCAGCACAGAAGAATAAGACCCACCATGCGTTTATACAAAAAAAAAAAATAGTGTAAACAAATGTGATGTGTCATATGACAAATTGCATAACAAACAACATTCGGATACTTGTCAAATTGGAAATAGGAAAATAAAATTGACTTATTGAGTCCAAACTAATTGCAAAGCATTTGCATTTCTAGTTGTCAACCTTTGTGTAATAAAACTTTGATAATTAATTCGATCAGGAATGCGAGAAACACATTTTAAGACCAACAAAATCAAGACATTGTGTCACAAAAAAGTCATAGATCATCTTTGCAAATCTAAACCCAAATGAGATAAATACTTTCAAAACTAAGGGAATCAATACTCATCATCAATCACTTGACAAAATTACCAGATATTCAATGATGAACTTGCTGCAATCATATATTATATAAGTCAGGTGGAACAATAAACAGAGAAATTCACTCTATTTAATCCAAGATGCCTTCTTTCCTAAGACACCAATTATAATTAGTTTCTGAATAAGCATATGAAACAAGATCCCTTTATAAGAGGCATTCATGGTACCAAGTTAAGTCTTACTCTTTCAATTTGTGACAGTATTCTAACAAAATAATGATTTACATGTGGAAATATCCAAATTCAAAACCACTTATCCTAAATTCCACAAATCACATCAGAATAAAATAATTATCCTACTTAAGAAAATTTCACCTTAAAATTTTAATCAAGAAGAGTACATGTTCAAAGAACCAATACCAATGTCAACCCAAAATATAAATACTAAAAAAATCACAACCAATCTCCTAAGTGGCTAAGCATATCGAGTCTCAAATTACAAACCAAGAGCACAAATAGAGAAGCATTAATCAATTACGAGAATACACAACCGAATACATTTAAAAAAATGCGTATTAGTATAGTGACTAAAAGAAATTCAAATGCCTAAGCTAAATTGTATGACATTAAGTTGCATATGTGATCATTCTAGTACAATGCATATTAACATAAAGTTGCAAGCCAAAAGAAGGAAAAAAGAATCTAAAATATTTGCAGGCAAAATAACTAGCATTATGGAAGAATTTGAACCTTGTATGTGCATGTTTGTAGCCTATTTGTCGTAATTGCATCGATGCAAAAGCAAATTGTATTTACTTCGATGTCGTTTTGTGAATTTAATGTGGATTTTTAATAACGCATGGGTCATTAATAGTGTGTTTGCATATACTTACAAACGTATATATCTCCCACTTCTTCGTGTTAGCATGTGCGTTACAAATATGTATCTCCCACTTTTTCGTGTTTGCATATGCATTAACAAACACATTTCCCACTCTTTCGTGTTTACATATGCTTTAACAAACACACATCTCTTACTTTTTTTGTATTTGCATATGCGTTAAAAGCACATGTATCTCCCACTTCTTCATGTTTGCATATACGATACATATGTGAATCTTTGATAACACAAGTCATTAATAGTGTGTTTTCTTATGTTATATAAATAGACTTATCTTCCACTTCTTCGTGTTTGCATATGCGTTAACAATTGCACATATCTCCCACTTTTTTTTGTATGCATATACGTTACAAATGCACATGTTTCTCACTTCTTCATGTTTGCATATGCGTTACATGTGTGAATCTTTCAGAACACGTGAGTCATTAATACCATTTTTGCATATGCGTTACAAATGCACATATCTCACATTTCGATGTGCTTGCATATACGTTAATAAATGCACATATCTCCCATTTTTTCTCATTTACATGTACATTACAAACACACATATCTCTCATTTCTTCATGTTTGCATATGTATTACATGTGTGAACCTTTAATAACACGTGAGTCATTAATATTGTGTTTGCATATGCGTTGCAAATGCATTGTGTTTGCATATGCGTTGCAAATGCACCTATCTCCACTTCTTCATGCTTCCATATGCATTACAATGCACATATCTCTCACTTAACATATCTCCCACTTTTTCGTACTAGCTTATGCATTACAAAACACACATATCTTCCATTTCTTCGTGCTTGTATTTGCATTACATATATGAATCTTTGATAACATGCAAGTTATTAATAACATGTTTGCATATGCATTACAAACACATGTATCTCCCACTTTTCCTTGTTTGCATATGTATTACAAACACCCATAACTCCCACTTCTTTGTACTTGTATTTGTGTTACACATGTGAATCTTTGATAACACCTGAGTTATTAATAACGAGTTTGCATATGCGTTAAAAACACACACTTATCTTCCATTTCTTCATGCTTGCATATGCATTACATTTGGAGGTATGTTCCTATTTTGCATGTCAAAGACACCAACAGACAAGAAGCTACTCTTTGTAGCTTATGCTGGATCCATGTTCAATGGCAAGAGACATGTTATGCAGTAACACAAACCCAAACACACTGTGAATGGATGGGATGTTGCCACTAACAAACACAGAATCCAAGAGACAAGCAGGCATGTAGAACAAAGTTTTCCACCAGAACTCTAGCAAGGAATGGCACAAACACGCATTTATTTAAACTGAAGAAGCAGTCAATTTATTCCCCTCAAGGCCATGGACAAGCATCCACAAACAGAATGCGATATGACAAAAGGCAAAGAAATAAATGATGGTTAGGACATTTAGACAAAGAGCAAAACCAGGGTGAAGCAAATAAAGATTTTAATTATATTGATAATTGATAATAAAAAGAGCATAATCCCACTATAATTGTATAACATCTAATTTGTTTTTGCATCCCGCAAACATGATAATAGCACGAACCAATGCAAAACTGTTCCCTTTTGATGTCTTTGATTATCCCATTTACAGAAATAAAATAAAATAAACTAAGCAGCAGCGGACCAGTTTGAGTCCAACCACCGGAAATTGAATAATCCCCAGTACCAGCACCATGACCATGTACATGTACAGGTAACACAAGAACAACCCTAAACCTAAAATCTAGGCTAAATAAAGCAGTGACCTGCCCAGAGCGAAATCAAATCCCTTTCCATCGGGGGCTGGGAACGGGCAGGGTGGTGGGCGAAAGCGGCAGCTGAGGAAACCCCTGGCCTGAAGTTGGTGAAAAGAGAAGACCCGGCGAGAGCAGAGGGTAAGACGCCAGCTGCGAATTCAGACATCCAAAAGGCACAGGAGAAGACGGCATCTGAAACGCCGCTTGAGAAGAACCCATCCCTTGCTGCTGCTGCTGCTGCTGCTGCTGCTGAAACTGCTGCGGAGGCAGAGGCAGAGGCTGAGACTGAGACTGAGGAGCCACAGAGAAGCCGGAGAAGTGCTTGTTGGAATCGACGATACTCTGCAGATCGCGCATGTAGGCGGAGATAGGGGACTCAGCAGGCGCGTGAACGGTGGGGAAGGGCGGCAGCGGAGATAAGGGCGCAGGGGGCCTGGAGAAGACGTTGACGTTGGGTTGCTGAGGGCGGGGGTTGATGAGCGGCGGAGGACGGTTGGTGATTTGCGGCAAGGGAGGAGGGCGAATCCTCTGCAGCCGAGAGCTGGGGGGCTTGGGCTGGTGAATGGGAGGGGGTGTGGATATGCGCTCGTGCGCAGGTGAGCCCGTCAGTTTCTGAACCACATCCCTGAAGTCGTTCTTGTTGATGTTGTACACCGGCGGCTGGTGCTGCTGGGCGGGCCCGTGCCCGTGGACCGGGTTTGGCTGGGGCTGGGGTGGGTCGAAGGTGGGTTTCTTAGTGATGGGCTTGGAGATCTTCTGCGAGAGCTTGTTGAGGTGCCTGAGGTAGTGTTCCCTGTTGGTATTGTTGGCAGCAGAGGCAGAGGATGCGGTTATGGTTATGCTAGTATTAGAGTCTGCAGAGGGATGACAGCTTTTATCCATTACAAAATACAAACACTTTCTCTCTCACTCTGTTTCTGTTTCAGCGGTGCCTCTGCTCCTCTTGTGGTGGGCTTCTCTTATCTCAGATGCTCAGTAGGGACACACCACACCACACTATATACTATACAATTTTTATTTTCCTAGGGTAACACTAACACCCCCTCACAGTCACATTTTCCGCTCAAACTAATTATCATCAAAATTAAATTCCATATCACCCAAATTTACTACATTCACACACTTTACTCAACCAAACTATTTGTTTTTGCTGATTCCCTTTTTGTTTTTTCTTTTTTCTTTTCTCTTTCGCTGCTTTTAATATGTTTTTTTTAGGGGCTTAAAAGAAGAGAACAGACAAGAATCGAAAAAGTGGGGGAGCCACAGTATTAGCCCTCTGTTTTTCTCCTCTCCTTTCTTCATTATATGTATTAATTAATTAAATTAATTAATTATGATCTTATCTTCTAAAGTAATCTATGAATTGCCACTCGTCTTGTCACATCCTAGTCGTATTAGCTCACACTGTTGCTCACTCCAACCGGACGTCAAGGTAGGTAGTAGATACGTGTCTTTCGAGAAAAAAAATAATTCAAACTTAAAAAATTACTTTTACAAATTAAACAAATATTTTCGTATTAATATATTGAAATATTTATTGTTCATAAACTAATAATATAAAACAATTTTAAGTTGTTATTCAATCATATATCACATAAAATTTTATAAATTTTATAAATATTATTTTATTTAACATTTAAAATTTTATTATAAAATTTCAGAAAGTTTTTACAGAGATTAAATTCAAAACTCGTTCATTTTATATAAACTAAAAATATATTAAAATCTTAAAATTATTATAACAAAAAATTCAATTGATTAAAAAATTGAGAGTTTTCATGACGTGAACTTCAAAGAACATAAATTAAGAATTTAAAAAGTTTAAATATTTGGTTCATTTTTCTTTAAGTAATTAAAATGATTTAATGAAGAATAGTGAATATCATTTTTTTCTCTGTATTTTATTTTGGTATAAAGAATAGGTATTTTCTTTACATGAGACAATTATACTTTTTTTTAATATTTAACACAATTATATATATATATATATATATATATATATATATTTAACATTATATTATATTAATGTTATAAAATAATAATAAAATTAAAATAGATAAAAATTGTTAAAACAACAAATAATATGAGAGAAAATAAATAATTATAAATAAATAAATAAACGATGACAAACTCAAATTATTATTTTTTATTATGAGTATTTATCGATAAACATGAGACAATTTCTTTTAATAATTTGATAAATATTAAATAAGTGAACATATATTTTTAATTTGAATTTTTTTCCTGAAATTATTGAGATTACTAATTACTTAATTAAGTAATGTAAATCTTTCGTAATTTACGTTAATTGAAGTCGGTGACAAAAATTAATTATATAATTATTAAAATTTTAATTAATATGAATGGATAGTATAAATATTTTTTATTCTATGGATGATTTTATTGTTATAAGATTTTATCGATCAATTAAAAAGTATTATTATTGACATAACATTTTAATTATTTCTTATAAAAATCAATAAATTTAATACTCTTTTATTTAAATTTGTTTGACATTTAAGATTTCAGTATGAGATTTCAAAAATAAAATTAATATATTTAATTTCATTGAAACGTTATATTTAATATTACATTGATATTTTAAAATGATAATCGAATTAAAATAAATTAAAATTGTTAAAAAGTCATACAAAATAAAATCAGAGAAAATTCATATATAATTTATCTAAAATAAAAGAATTGCACTTTTTAAGAATTAAATGTAATAGCAATTATTGATTTAAAAAATTAATAATTAATATTATAATTAATGTTTGATTTTATTTTACACCTTAAAATATATTTTTTCATTTTGAAAGAGTTAAATCTAAAAATATATATAATAATTTATAATTAAATAACAATATAAAACTATTTCAAGTAGATGTGTATCATATATTTTCATATATTGAACTATTTTCTCATATATTAAACCAGTTTGTAAACAAAATTATCAAACAGTTGTAATTTTAACTTTTAAAAAACTAAAATAATAAAATTGTCTCTTGAAAAGGATTAAAGTAGTCGTTATTTTCTGATTTTAAATATTAAAGTCCCTAACGCTAAATATTTACCCTCAAAAAGTGCTAAAAATTAAAAAGATGAGTATTTAAATTGATCACTAAAAAGATATAAAAATATATATATATATTAATGAATTTCATTCTTTCTTTATAATAAAATTGATAATTATTTAGAGAATCTAATTCGATATTTTTCAAATTTGTTCATTAATTTAAACTTGCAAATGCTCTTTTAGAAAATATTTAATATCCATTTCTTTCTTCCCCATACATGTTTCAACATAAATTTTTTAAATGGGATTCATTCATGTACATATTATAATTGTTTTAAAATATTTAAAATTAATTTACTAACTTTGAAATTAAAAATAAATGGAAAAATGTTTTTGTAATATCAAACTAAAAGTTGTGAGGGGCAATTCACGTGGTGAGTTTCAAATTCAGTGGGTCTGGTCAAACCTGTTACGGTTGTCTTGGCTGTTACCAAATCGGCCATGACACAGAATCTTAAATCATGTATGTCCAAGGTGAATGATGTCCAACCCAAAAATAGAAAAACCACAAAATTACTGTTACTCAGAACAAAATTAAAAGAAAAAACAAATGAAGTGTTCCATTTTGTTAAAGATTTCTATCTCCTCCTACTGTACTGCAATTTCAGCTTAAAATCACACTGAGTGTAAAACACTACTTAAAAATTATTTTGGTTTCTAAGTATAAAAATAAAACATTAAATTAGTTTGACAAATTAATATTATTGATCAATTTGATCATTATCATTATAAATAAATAATAATAAAAATACTTGGTATTTATTTAAAATCATAAAAATTAAAAATAATAAAAATTATATAACATGTAAATAGAGATTAGAATAGATCATATAGAACTTTGAATATATAGGTTAGACCTTTTATGTAAAATTAAAACCTAAGTCTAGTTTATTATCTGTCATAAATTTTTTTATAGATTTGACCTGACATTTTTGAAAGCCTGGCCTATTATTCTATTTAAATTATTAATATTAATTTGATCAATAAACTTAATTTTTGAAAATTAAAAAAAATATTTTTAATATATAGTTTACTCAATTTTATTAAATTTTAAAATTTAAAAGAAATATAGGAGAAAAATTGAATAATTTTCTATTAAATGAACAATTCATGTATAATTATGTATATTGATGTATACTCATGCACAGATCGTAAACTTATAAATCAATAATAAAAAATATATATAAATATTTTAAATATTGATAATTTATTTTTATTTTATAATTTTATTTGTTTGTTTATATTTTGTTATATATATATATATATTATTTTATTATTATATTATATAAATAAATAAAGTTTAACAAGTTTTTCTATAAATCTAAGCATGACCTTTTTATATAATTAGGTTTTTTTAAAAGTTTAAATCTGAACTTTTTATTAAATAAGTTAACTTATATTAAACTTTAAAGAAGTCAAGCTATAGGTCCAATTTAAAATCTGACTTATTCTCATCCCTGCATGTAAATCAAGTGGATAATATACAATTAAAAAAAATAATCTTAAATAAAAATAAAGATAAAAGGTTGCCATAAAATAAATGAATAATTATTATTTATAAAATAGACAAATAATTATTTTATTTTCTATTTTATCCTTATGAAATTTGATAATAAAAAAATATTAATATATACAATTATATAAAGAAAATACCTCTTCTGATAATTACCTTTGACATGTTAAAAAAATAAATGAGAACTAAATTTTTATTTTCATTTTTATACGAACCATTTTTTTTATCTTTTTTTTACAACTTTTTAAAATTACTTTTTTCTATGTAACTTTTTATTATTTTATTTTAAAACTACAATAATTTCTCATCGACACAAAATATTTTTTTTTTACTAGTATACAATAAAGGTATAGATATCTATAAATAAAAAAATAAAAAATAAAACATTGTGGAAATCAAACGAAAGTATCCTTTTATATATAATATAAAAATTAATTAGATGTATAAAATTAACAATATTAATTAATTTTGTATTTTACATTTTTTAAAAAAATTAATTCTTAATCGTTTTGATTGACTAACTCGATATATAAATTGTAATATTAAGAGTTGAATTTCTTACTTTTGATAAATTATAACTAAATTAGTCAATAATAATAATTTTAAAAAACTAATTAATAGTAAGTATTAATTTATTATTTTATAGTGTCAAAGTTTAAATAAGTGAATTATGATAATTTTAGGTATTAAATTAATATTTTATCAAAAAATAAATGATTATTCTATTTTTATTTTTATTTTTATATGTCTTGTTTATATTTTGTTATATATATATATATATTATTTTATTATTATATTATATAAATAAATAAAGTTTAACAAGTTTTTCTATAAATCTAAGCATGACCTTTTTATATAATTAGGTTTTTTTAAAAGTTTAAATCTGAACTTTTTATTAAATAAGTTAACTTATATTAAACTTTAAAGAAGTCAAGCTATAGGTCCAATTTAAAATCTGACTTATTCTCATCCCTGCATGTAAATCAAGTGGATAATATACAATTAAAAAAAATAATCTTAAATAAAAATAAAGATAAAAGGTTGCCATAAAATAAATGAATAATTATTATTTATAAAATAGACAAATAATTATTTTATTTTCTATTTTATCCTTATGAAATTTGATAATAAAAAAATATTAATATATACAATTATATAAAGAAAATACCTCTTCTGATAATTACCTTTGACATGTTAAAAAAATAAATGAGAACTAAATTTTTATTTTCATTTTTATACGAACCATTTTTTTTATCTTTTTTTTACAACTTTTTAAAATTACTTTTTTCTATGTAACTTTTTATTATTTTATTTTAAAACTACAATAATTTCTCATCGACACAAAATATTTTTTTTTTACTAGTATACAATAAAGGTATAGATATCTATAAATAAAAAAATAAAAAATAAAACATTGTGGAAATCAAACGAAAGTATCCTTTTATATATAATATAAAAATTAATTAGATGTATAAAATTAACAATATTAATTAATTTTGTATTTTACATTTTTTAAAAAAATTAATTCTTAATCGTTTTGATTGACTAACTCGATATATAAATTGTAATATTAAGAGTTGAAT